GGTAACACCAACATCAATTTTTCACCTCAGTCATATATTATTAATAACCATGCAAAACTTAGGAAGTAAAAATTAATGTAAGAATCATTGTAATTACAACAAATGTCTTTACAAAGAAAAGAACTAGCTTTCCAGTCGGATAGTTAGTTTTGGACACGTTAAAATGAGCAAATATTTCATTCATGTGTTATGAAAAATTGTAAACACCTGAAAACAAACTATTAACTGTAATTTTATTTTTCATATATAAAACCCATCTATTTTCTCCATAATCTCTGAGCCAACCCCGTGAAACTTCGTATGTTTTCCATTCTTTTTGCATCTTTTCCAACTCAACTATTTCAAGAAGATCATACCCTGTTGTTACAGCACTCTGTCCTGGAGCAATACCAAGTGTCATGTGAGCCTTGCGGCCAGGACCTGTCACAGGGTGGAAATCTGGATCCTCTGATAAATTTTCTGTAGGATAAACAAGTGAAGCTTGGCAATTCGGAAAATATCTTGGTGACTTTTTCTTGATTGGTGCTCCAAAATCTTTTTCAGACTCATTTAATACCAATTTTTGGGTCATAGCTGAATTGAGGGATGTTATTGAGTCAGACTCCTTCTGCAAACTTTTGTTTGGGCTAGTCCCCTCAGTACTGCTGTCAAATGATTCCCGAGTCACTTGCTTCTGTTCATCATCCCCTCCCCAAAGTTCTAACTGATTTGGAGAGAGTTTCAGGCGAGCACCAAATGTGCGTGGAGTGAACACCAAACCAATGACAGTGGTTTCAAAAGCCATTGTGATGCTTTTTTTTACCTCTTGAAAGTATTCTATGGCAGGTGATGCTGGGGTTTTGCCAAAATACTTGGCAGTACAATGAAGCATACCATTGTGATTTGAAGGTGCAAGTTGATAAAATTCTAACATTTCTGAAAAATTGGAAGGATGTCAATTTTAACAACATACTATGATAGATAAAAAAATAAAATAAAAATAGGAGGAACAAACCCTAGATTTGCAAGGTCTATAACTTACCAGATATTGTCTCACTCTGGCTGAAATTTCTAAAATCAGTACAAAATTCATAATTATTTCTAAGAAGATCATCAAGAAGGGCTTTGGCACATAGACCAAGCATGCAAGAATCTGCCTCATTCAGGTGCCAACCAACATAATCTGGAAGAATACTCTGCAATATTTCAAATTCATGGTAAAAATCTAGTTTGATAAAATTTTAATTGGTAATGAAGACAAAGTTTTGAAAAGATTACCTCAGGTTCATTAATAAAAGATACAATATAGTTGAAGTCATATGCTAATTCAGTAAAAGGCAGGAGTTTCGAAGAATCAGGGTCTTGAATATCTCCAACATCAATGGCAATAACATGACGGTCCTCCAAACAAGCCTTTTTAACCATTACATACTGTTTGCTGCAAAATGATAGGTAAAAATGAGACACTCCTACATTTCTTGAATATGTTATTAAAATTTCAGCCAGGTTTACCTTTTATCGTCTTCTTTTACGCAGGTAGCATTGGTTCCATAAATAGTGGATACTTTCTGAAGAATATCCAGACGTGAGTTGGGAACCAAGACCATCAATTTAGATGACGACACATAGCTGATTGTGTCAGAATTGCTTAGGAATGGAACCTCTGAAGGTTTTGACATTTTCTGTTGTAATACGAATCCCTAAGACCCGAAAGAAAAGGGCATTAAAATAAGAGAAAACACACAAAATCATAAAATTGCCAATTCTGGATTTAAGAAGAACAAGGGCCATGCAACAATAGTGAACGACAATGAAAAATAGAGAGCAGATGTGTTCATACAGATTTCCTCTCTTTGAACTACAGAAATGACAACAATGTGAAACAAGGAAAAATATTTTTCTACCGCTATCAGAACTCCTCCGCCTATCAATATAAATAGGAAAACAGCAAAGAGCCGATGAGACTTTTTACGAAACATTGTTACTTGTTACTGCGGTCAACTGAAGCCTTATCAGAAGAGGGATTACTGACACATAGATATACAATCACAACTGATTGATCTGTAACCCTACCTTGCCGCTATTGACGTTGTCAGCTTTCTATAACCTAGTTTTTCATTGATGGAAGATAAACATGACACAAATATGCAACAATTGTACCTCCTACTGAGCGTCTCAGCTTGAGAAGGGTTTTGGCTCAAAACTCGAACTAAGCCGAACTCCGAATCCGAACCGAATGCCGAACCGAACCCGCACCTCGGCAAAACGACAGGGTTGAAACCATTGGAAACGAAAATGAAAATTTTCACACGTTCCGTGAACATTTGAACGACAAACGGGTGTATTCGAACGTTTTTATCTTATATCATTAGCGTAAATTCGTGGATGCAAGATCAATTTACCTTTAAAAAAAAAAACAAACAAATAAGATCTCAGCTCGGCTCGGCTTTCCGCGTCGGCGTACTTTCGGCTTCGGCTACGGTGGAGCAGAGTTAAGATTCCTACTATGCTGAGACCGTACATAAACATTTCAAGCCCATGCTTTCGGAAGGTTACATCGACATTATTTTGAGTTTTCATGTAATTTATGTTTTCTAGACATTTTTTAAGTAGATCTATTTTTCCGAAGGTTTGTGTTTTTACCTTTTTATATGTTCTCTCATTTTTTAGTTAACTTTTCTCTTATGCCACTGGTAAGGTGATGATGTATCTTAACCAATGAGGTATTTTAGCGGTTAGAAGAAATGAAGAATCCCCAAGATGGCCGCCACGGACCACAACAAACCGGCAATTGTTTTAAAACTAAAGTTTCGATTTAGCCCTTAAATTTGTCTGAATGTAAAATCTGAGTCGGCTCTGAGTCTATCCAGAGTCAGTGCAAAAAATTTAAACCCCTTGGGACCTTACAGCGAGCGAATTTAAGAAACGTCGTCTGCTGGTTTGTTGTGGTCCGTGGCGGCCATCTTGGGGATTCTTCATTTCTTCTAACCGCTAAAATACCTCATTTAAATCGCCTAACATCAACAGGTCTATTTTCCATAGAAACACAATGGCTTCCAAACCGCAATTTGATGCACTCCTTGGTGGGGACACCGAAGTGCCAATTGAAGTGGATACAATGCGGTTCGCTACTGCTAGAGCTCAGGAGATTGCTGCCATTAGTCAAGCCCTTGGTAACTAAATTTTTCAAGTATTTTAATGAACAATAATAATGTTTTCAACACATTTTAAAAGTTTTATTTTCTCAAAGATGATTCTCAAAAGGGCAAACTTATTTTTCAACGCCTCCCTCGCCACATGCGTCGCCGAGTCATGGGCCACAATGCAAAACGGATGCCCAGAAATCTTCGAGATGCATATTCACAGCAGGTACTTTATTACTTAGCACTGACCCGAACCAAAACATAAAAATTCCTGCATATATTTTTATTGATTGAATCCTTGATTTACCTGATGCAGCTCCTGAAGAGCTCTGGAGGATCTGTCGCTAAACATAAGAAACCTAGCAGGAAACACCGGAGAAGACCTGCAAATTTGCTTGATGAGTATAATAGACGACAAAGAAATTTTGTTTGGCTAGAAACACACATATGGCATGCCAAGCGGTTCCATATGACTGAACGTTGGGGATACCGCCTTGCTCTGTTTCCTAATGACCGTAGTTATAGAGCTTGTTACCGGGCTGCTGCAAATCATTGTCTTCTACAAGTAAGTGTGAACATCAGTGTAGGTCAATCACTATATTTGTGTTCCACTTTATTAACTTTTAATGATTAATGAATGTCTTTTTTTTCTTCTACTTCTGAAGGACATATCTTTTCTGTGCTGTATTGAACTCACAGGACCACTAAGCTTGCTCTTAGAGGGCCTCGCCAAACATACTTTTAGTGGATTGTCCTTTGCTGCTCGGTGTTTCTTGGATGGAGCCCGTGAGGGTGAAGTCATGTTTTATGAGGGTGGGAAAGCACCTTGGCACCCAATTGGGACTGTAAATTTTTTTTGGAAACCTTGTAAATCATCAACATCATCAATGGAAAGATCACTCTGGATTTGGGCTCACCCAGCCTTTTACCAGAGTATTATTGATGCATTGACAGTCACTTTTCAACTGACTTCTAATTCCGAGAGCGATGAACTTGTCCAGAGTGAGGAGAGCTGTTGCGGTCCTGCTAAAAAGAAATTGAAAACTGAAAATGCAGCACATAAATCTGTTGAAGAACAAAAGTTACTTACTCGAAATGTTCCGTTTGAGAGGACTCCTAAGTTTACCAGCAAATGTAATCAGGTTCAGATGGCTCTCTTGAAAGACACCCTGAACAGATTTCGTTTGACTGGACCTTTATCACAAGCCATTCTTGAGGAAGCTCTACAACTTGTCAATGAAACTAATGAGCACTCCATCAATTTTAGTGATACTAATGGTGTAACTAGTAATCCCCAGGAAGAACAAAATAATTTGAACTCTTCAGAACAATGTTTGTTAGATAATGATCCTCATGGTAGAGAAGCTCACCATCAGTTCTGGCTGTCAAATCAAGGATTACCTTCTCCAGGAGAGTTACCACCAAAAATGATATTATCTTTGACAGTGAAAGACCCAAGACTTCAAATTCCTGATAAAAGAACAAAGGCTGTTCCTAATCTATCAGGTGAAGCACATTCTTACAGCGGTTTTTATGGGAATGTGAGGGTTGTGAATTTTGTTTAATTTTCCCTAATTTTCTTCAGGAAAAAAATGTCCAGAAAGTCCCAGTCTGCCTCCAATTCCATACGTCAGCCCATTATGGTTTTCAGATATACGCGATAGTGTTACTAAATCAAAACTGTCTACCTCAGAACTAAATAAGTTGAGATCAAAGCTTCTTGTCCCTGGTTTGCTGAGAACATCTGAAAATAATGAGTCAAAAGATGACACAGTATCTAGGTCTAGGCTGGAGGCCTCTGTGTCTTCAAAAATTCCTATGATGCTTGTGCAGAGGCCTGGAAGTCAAGACCCACTCACCAAACGTCTAGGTAACACAATTGTATTTATTGTTTCCGTCATCCCCTCAGATTTTGATCTTAAACACTAGTTCCTGATTTATGTTTATTTTTTTGACAGGATTTGGTTGTGGATGGGATATTATTTTAACAGCTGGCTGGGCTATGCCATTTTGGCTGGCATTTGTTTTTCGATGTGCAAGACCATCAGGTCTAAGGGAAGCTTCTGCTCATGAGTTGGAAAGAGGGCTTTGTGAATTTTTGCCTCCTGACTCCAAAGCAGGAATTGAAGAAATGTTGCGAATTGAAGGAGACCTCAGAAAATCATACTTCAGGTAATCAACAATTTGTCAGTGTCCTATCTAGAAATATTTTTGGATCATATTCATATTGTAATACTGGTTTCAACTCTTTCTGTACCTGCCTTGCTTCCTTTCTTGAAGTGAGGTCTAATTCAGTGATGCCTGTAAGGCGTCCTTACTGTGAACTTTTAATGCCTGCTGGAAGCCAACTTGACTCCTTGCAACTTCTAATCATGTACCTGAGATGAAATGAAGTTATTAATCTACAAAATGTTTTTTTCTGAGACTCTTTTGCTTATGGCAGTAATGAAGCACTTACGGCAAAAGAATATACCTACCACTTATACTAACCCTGTTCTGCTTGTTCTTTGTAGGCTTCCTCCTAACAAGAGACCGAATTTCATTAAATTGGGTATCTCTTGCCCTTTTAAATGTGACTGGTCTAATCTCATAAGAGATTGGATTTCATCGCAAGAGGAATCTAATGGCCTAAGTGATGGTGGAGAATTACCCTCTACTACTGAAGAGTATTTTGTCCTCAGAGATCATAAGATTTTGCAGGATTTAAACAAACTCATTGTTGAGATATGGTCTTCTCTGTCAAAAATGCCACTTGGTATGAACAAATATTCCTATGACCCAAAATTCTATTGTAATCAAATTTATGATAATATCTGTTATAACATTGTTTTAGCAAACAGCACCCAAGAAAATCTTCACCAAAAGTTGATCAAATTTCCAAAATTTCCAAGTCAGAAATATTCACTTTTGCCTGTTCGTCTCGAAGCAGTTCAAAAGGGTGTTACAGATGACATGTCTATAATTTGTATTCCATCTGAAGAGGATATTGTAAAAATACTTTCAGATTCCTTCAAAAATGATTTAATTGAGACACAAAATTCTGATGAAAATCAGGTATGTGACCAGTGCAAACTAGCTGTTTTGTGTGCTGCTTATGACTTCTACAATAAACTGAACGTTTCAGGATGTACGACAAAATATTAGAAATAATCATAAGAAGCTGCTTCTTCGTCTTCGAAGGCAGAGAGTTCGTGCAAAAAGAAAAGAAGAGCTAATTATGGAAAGTGACTCAGGGTCAGCCAAGAAGAAAGCTGATTCTGATGAGAAGCATCCAACACAGGATTTAGTCATTGCTCACAACAGTAAAATGGAGGACTTGTGGTTGCCAAATACTAACAAATTAGGATCAATTAAAAATGCATGTAGCCGAGAGACTGCAGGTTTTGTGACAAAAGGTAGAAAATTAGTTCTCATCAGGAATCCTGGTCGTTTTTTGTTTTTTTAAAAATGATTTCTAATTTATATTTTCCTTTCCAATCAGGGAATTTCTCTTTCACAGAAGCCAAAGGATGTGGGGTAGGTTACATATCATACCTGTCACTTTGGAAATTACTGCAGGTGTGGATTGATCACTACCCCCAGAAGATAGTTACAACTTCAACTGTTAAAAGTGCAAATGTTATTGTTCTTGTGAGGTCGCCAAACAGTTACCAATACAGACTGGCTAAACTTAGTATTGTTGATTAGTTCAATAAAGTCATAATGTTGCTCATTGTGGTGATAGTCCACTTTTGAAAGGCCTACAAAAAACAATTTCTAATTGTCCAAGCCGTGAACTCCTCAGGTGAATGTCAAACTCACTTGAATACTTCTCGTGTACAAGGTGAGAGCTTAAACTGTCAACTGCAGCTCATCAACGGGACTATTTAGGATAATTATCCTAAAAAATAGCTACCATATATAGGTCAGGAGACAATAAATCTTGAAAGTCAGAAGTCTTTGGTTATTTTGTTTAATGCAAGTTCTTCAAAGTGAACATATGTTTCTTCTCCCAGCAGTGGAGTCATTAGCCCAGTTCATTCATTCCATTAGTTACAGAAAACAACTTAACAGAACTTAAGTAAAATATGGCATAAAAATACAAACTTAAGAACTAAATAAAATCTATATCACATTAAATATTAAATTCGAACAACCTGGGCACATATACTATTTACGAGCGATCTGTCCTCACTTAAAACAGGTTTGATGTTCATTCTGACGAATGTACCGCCTGCTGATCCTTTAGCTAGCCTTTCCGGGTTAACTATGAATGCACCACCAACAGACTGTAACACAATAGAATGAACATGTAATTACACACAGAATGATGTCAAAATATTAACGCTGAATTGCTGTTTAAAATTACCTTGAGGAAATATCTGAAGTCAGATGGCAAGATCAAAATGTGGGGTGTAACAGGAAGGTGAGTGTGGTCATCCCACATCTCCAAGTCTACATTTAAATCTTCTGGTGGAGGATAGAGAGGATACATGGAGCGTTGATTTAAGAGGTGAGATGCAAGACGTCCTAGACGGTCATGACCTTGAGGTGGACTGAAAATTGAAGTAAAGATTACATTCAAGTTATTAAAACGGCAAATGCATAACAGGCAGCCTCTTAAAAAGTTGACTTACTTGCATACTTCCTCTCTGCCAATGTGCATTAGGACATCAGTGGCTGTAATGCCAAATATAATACCATTTACATCAAGGAGTGCTGGATCAGGAAGCAAATGAAGATGAGGGTAGGACTTCCGTAAAATGTAGGGAGGAGTTGGATAAACCGGCTGATGATTGACATCACGTGAAGATGGAATCAGAACAACCTCTGTGTGACAACTAGAAAAAGGAACATAAGATGAGGCAGTGCACAAATAGTTTCTTTCAAAAGCAATGTAATGTTAGCTGTGATGCCACATACCTAGCAAGAGGCCGCATCAAGGTATCTACTATGTTCTCAAAGATTTCATTAAATGACTGGGCCAAGAGACCATCAGTGACCTGGGGATGTAATGCATCTAGGAATGGGCCAACTAAAATGAGAACATGGGGTTGGTGCTCTTGAACGTACATTATTAAGTCCTCCAGAGGCTGGTATGTCATAGTGTCACTTTGAGTGAATGGTCCTGAAGCAACAACAACGTTCAGTGGACCTGGAAGAAAATAAGTTCAGTAAAATACAAGGATAAATAAGTGATGTGAGTACAAGTAGTATTATCAAATTTGTCATGAGATTATGAACTGACCATTAGCAGTTGATAGTTTTAATGGCTCAGATGGAAGAGGAAGAGGAGCATCACAAAGTACTCTCTGAGCTACAAGTGATTCTCCAGTAGGATTGGTTCCTTCCACAGCCACAACTTGACCAGGAAATAGGGCGTAAGATGAGACCGATGTGAGCTTCAAAGGTACACTAATCCCAAAACTGGGATGTCCTCTTGCACCTTCTAGTAGAACTGAACTGGGGTTTAATCTGCCATTAGCATCACAACATATATGACCAATACCAATAAACGGTTCCTGTAACAGACAAAATCACACAAATAGAGGGAGGGGTGAAAAATTAGCTGGTAAGCTGAGTTGTTAAAATCCACCTTTAAAAGTTTTATTTCTTGAAAAACAAAGACAAGAAGGGGAATGCTTACGGAATGAAGTTTTTTCAAATGATCTGGTTCATCAAGTCCGTGTTTAAGACAGATTTCTTTTCCCAACCAGTCAACAACATCATTTAAGACACAAGCCTTGGTGGTAAGCCTCTCATACATGTATCGTGCTTCAGCAGGAAGAGTTGGTTGACCGTGGCCAGCGTAACTTGCCACTCTCAGACCTGGTATGCTTCCTTCAGTTTTCCAGGTGGCTCCAGGAGGCAAAGACCCCCATTCAGTGACCGTTTGACCTGCATTGGTTCGTGTACAGTATTTACTTGATGGTGTACCACTGCAGAAAATAAAAAACAGTAAACATAAGAAACAATAATGCGATAACAGTGGTGGAACACTTCGTACAAGTAAGCACCACATTATACCTACACAGTGGGTGAGAAACTAGCAGGTGAAAAAGCCATACGTGGGCTCCTTCCAGCAGTGGTTTGCTTCTTAGTACCATATTGCTCAGGAGTAGTAAGTTCAGCGCACCTTTTCTCTGCCCGGCTTCTCTGGAATTGAGAGAAAATGCCATGAGGTTACAACTCAACAAGAATTTCAGCAGAAAAGGACAAGTGATTAGTGACTGAAGAAATCCCACGATGAAAACTCAAGTGGCTGTAGACGAGTATGGATCTAGTCATGATCAAATGCACATGAACCAGACCCAGACCCGCCGACCTCCAAAAGATGCACTGATATCCAGTTCTTGAGGCGTGACAATGTTGAAGTGTGTGGACAAATGTCAATGAGTGTGGATCTAGTCACCATTTCAAATACTAAGTGTACAAGATCCAAACCCATCGGCAGCAGCCACATAAAACTGAAATTGAACTAGCACAATGTCAAAGATGTTATAAAGTAGCAAGACCAAAACCCACAATACATTACAAAAAGTGCCAAATGGGATACATGCAGCGAAACAGCAAAGATATAGTCAAGAATTATGAACCCATAAAATATGAAACATTAAATGCTGCTGATGGAAGTAGAATATACAACGCAGTGATGTGGATGACAGGTGTCATTCATTTACGACGCCCCCCCCTCCCCATTTCCCAACGTCACGAGCTGAGCAGAGCTGCATCTACCACAACCGCAGCACCAACGCGACCGACGTACGGTGAACAAGGGCAGGGAGAGAGGAAGGGGGGGGGG